TTTTGTTTAGAACTGTAATTATTTTTCCTAGAACTTAATGAAGCCAAATTCTTGAGTACAAAAATGATTGAGAAAATGTTTTTCTTAGTTGTTTAGCCATATAACACTAGCTCTGGTTAGGCAGCTAACTATGGATGGATTGTAAGTAATTTCTTCCTACCACTTGAAAAATAGGGCTTAATTGAAAGTTATCTATTGGAAAAAAGTTAGCACATGTATAAAAAGAAGGTGGTATTATAATTGATGTGCCTGTCCTCTGTTTGAATTTCTCCTTTTATGCTTTGGCTACAAAGAACTTCCTGAACAATTTCCAGACAGCCAAAGAGGCTGTGAGTGCTGCCACTGCCCAGGCTGCAGAAAAAGCTGCCACAAGTGTGAAGGATCTTGCCCAGAGGAGTTTTCGTGTTTCCATCAATATTGATTTGAAAGCACCAGTTATAGTCATCCCACAATCTTCTGTTTCCACCAATGCAGTAGTGGTAGATCTTGGATTAATCAGAGTTCAAAATCGGTTCAGTCTGGTGTCTGGTGAAGACTACTTGAATCCCCCAGTAATTGACAGAATGGATGTACAGCTAACAAAGCTTAAGCTTTCTAGGTATGCTCTTTCAATAATTATGTATTTCAGTATTATGTTAATGTTTGCCATGAAGTTTTATTATGACTATAGAAATTTATACACGACATACTTATATTACACAGAACAGTTTATTTTGAAAATTTTCAAACCTACAGAAAAATTGTNACACGACATACTTATATTACACAGAACAGTTTATTTTGAAAATTTTCAAACCTACAGAAAAATTGTAAAAATAGTACCATGAGTGCACCTAAACATTGTTCATCTAGATTCATCAATTGGTGTTTACATTACCTTTACTCTATGTATATACATATTATTTAAAACATTTTTTGCTAAACCATTTGAGAATAGATATTTTTACCCCTTTTCCCTAAGTATTTTAACATGTGTCTCCTAAAAACAAGGACATTCATTTTCTTACATTGACCACGACGTAATTATAAAATTTTAGAAATTTAATATTGATGTAATACTACTATCTAAAGTGCACTGAATATTCAGATTTTACCAGTTATCTCAGTAATGTCCAACCTCCCCTTCCCCAGTAGTAATTCTGGCCCCCTCTACCCCCTAATCCAGGATCACACATGGCATTTAACTGTATCCTGTACTACTGAGGGGGATTTCCATACCCGATAGACAATTATTCTGGAACAGTTCTTCAGCCTTTCTGTGTCTTTTATGATGATGACTGTTTTGAAGAGTGAAGTCTAGTTTTATAGAACACCTCTCAATTTGGTTTTGTCTGAGTGATTCTTTATGGTTTGATTGAGCTTACATTTTTGGCAGGAATACTGTCTAAGTAAAGTTTTATCCTCAGTGCTCACACTAAGTGACACATGAAGTCTCTACATAATTCATTTGAAAATCTTTTTCTAGCCTGTCTAAGGAGATTTAATTATTCAGAGTAAAAGAGTAATGATTATAAGGCAAGTCCAGAAAATAATCCTGGAAAAGAGCTTTATGAAATGCCTTAGAAAATGCTGACTGTTCACCTTACCATTGTTTTCTTCAGTCTCTATAACAATACGTATATTAATCCTTGAAAAATTGTATTTGATGATTTCTGCCATCTTGTCAACAGTATGAATTTTTAAAAAAAAATTTGTTACATTTTTCACCTAGCTACTGTTTAAAGAAAAATCTTTTTTTAATGGTTAATTGTGTATCCAATGTTTTAATCTTTCTCTACTAGTGGATTACAGATTAAGTTAATTATAGATTCAGTTTTGAAAACACTCAAGCAGCACTGTTTCAAATCAGTATTCAGAGCAGCAAATAATGGCTTGGCTTTGTTTTTTTCCATGACGTGTTACCTTTCCCTCCTGTATTTATGCATGTGTATCATTTCTATTTTTCATTAGGACAGTGATCCAGCCAGGCATCTCCCATCCTGATATTCAGCTGTTGCACCCAATTAACTTGGAGTTGTTTGTAAATCGGAACCTAGCTGCATCTTGGTACCATAAGATGCCGATTGTGGAAATTAAAGGACATCTTGATTCAATGAATGTAAGTTTATTAGTGAAAAAAAACTTCATTCTTGAAATTTTAAACTCTGAAGACTTTCTCAATGTAAATTCAAATGAAATGTAGATTTTTTTACTAAATGATATAAGAAGAATTTCAATGAGATATTGGCCAACAAGATTATTATTATGTTCAGTAGAATTTAATTTTCAATTAAACCTTACTTAACTTCTAAATTTGCTATATGTACACTGGTAGAGATCTATAAGCAAATTATTTATTAGCATATTATGTCTCATATACATAAACTTTTATCTTAGGGATATCTGAGTTCTCCTAAGATAATCGTGGCATTGAGGGAAATGCCTATTTTTTATATTAAAGACAGCCTTTTTATTTCATTGGAATTATTATTGTTTAAAAAATAGAATTTATGCATTTTCTGAATTTGTCATATTTTTTTAAATGATCCAATTTCTCTGATCGTTATTAACTTTCAGTAATGATTCAAGTTATGTCAGTGGTGCTAATATTGACTCATCACATTGTTTTTGTACAAACATTTTCTTATCTTTGATGAAGGAACTATTTTGTTTTTTTTTTTTTTTGGCAGCTGGCCAGTAAGGGGAATTGAACCCTTGACCTTGGTGTTACAAGGCTGTGTTCTAACCAACTGAGCTAACCAGGCAGCCCCAACATTTTCTTATCTTTGGAAATAAGAATTTTAATATGAAATAAGTAGTATGATACTTGAGTGGGTAGTGATTATAAAACTTTCAGTCAGTTAGGAGTATTTTGTTCATTGTGTTTTGTCACTGGGAATTTATTTTTTGTATTAAAATTGTTTCATTTTAAATGTAATATATTTATCTTTTAACATAATATTTCACAGGTTAGTCTAAATGAAGAAGATCTTAACCTTTTATTTAGAATACTAGCAGAAAATCTTGGTGAGGCTCCTGAAGACTTGGATAAAGTGAAATCAAAAATTCAAGAGACAGGTAAGAAGCTGTCTGACAGTAGGGAGCATAATACACATGTGTCTGTTTATTTTACAATTTAGTAGGGGAGCCAGACAATAAAAATGAAGCAAACAAATATATATTTACTAATTGTAATTTGTAGAACCAAGAAAACAAACAAGATGTTATTCAATGAAATCATAGTTGGAGATGATTGACTTTTATTAGTTAAGCAAACAGTTATAGTTTCCACACTTTTTTCTAAGTTGCATGAGTTGGGAGGAGGCTATAAAGAAGGGTTTCAAATCAGTGGTAGATTCCTGGAATAATTATTGAATTTGCATGTATAGTAAAAGCTTTTTTAAGTTGTCACTAGGCTATGGTGGCATATTCCACCTGATTTTTAAATAAGGCTTAGTAGTAAAATATCTGTAAGAATTGAAATGGTTGGTAACCTACCACTTCCTGAAAATACTGGAAATATTGTCCTTCAGTAAAAAAGGAAAGACAATTTAAATTATTATAGTGGCCTTTTTGACTTAAATGCAAAGTAGTTACCACACTTATTTTTTTAAGCTACTCTGTGTGTGTGTATGTACACCATGTACATACACACAAATATAATCTTGTTTTTTCCAAACAAATGGTAGCATTCTGTGTGTGTGTGTGTGTGTGTGTGTTTGTGTATGTTTTTAAAAAACATTTTGCTGTTTTTTAAAAAAATTAACAGTGTATCTTGGTGTTCATTCCATAGCTGTATAAATACTATGTGTATAGGTCTGCTTCATTCTTTTTATTGGCTGCCTGATATTAAGTTCTGCTGAAATATCATGATTTATTTAGACATTTTCAGTCTTTCACTGTTACCATGTTGCATTGAATACTCTTGTACATATACTTTTACAAGTGCATGTATGTGAGGTCTTCAGAATGTTCATGGAAAGATTTGTATTATCTTTTAATTCCATTTTTTCATAAACTTTTTGAAATACTCTCATAGATCTGTAGGGTAACACCAGTTAAAGGGTATGTAATCTTTATTTAAATTATTGATTTAATTGTTAATTAAATTTAAATTAATGTAAAATCCTGACAGATCTTGCTGATTGCCCTCCATAAAACTTGTATTAATTTTGGAACTCCCACCATGTTGTTTTCTAACACAGTGTATTATCAGATTTTTAAATTTTTGCCCATGTGCTAAGTGAAAAATAGTATCCCACTGTATATTTTTATTATTAAGAAACTTTTTCCTATATACATACGCAAGTCTTAAATTTACAATTCAGTGAATTTTACATGTGGATATACTTGTATAATCACCAAGATCAAGATAAAGCACATTTCCAGCACCCCAGAAGGCCTACCATCTCCCCCTTCCCAGTCAGTGCCAAACACCTGCCTTCTAATCCATCCATAGGTAACTACCATTCTAAGTTGTCATACTATAGATTAGTTTTCCTTCCTCTTGAATTTCATGTAAATGGAATCATACACACTTTACTTTTTGATGTTTTTCTCCTTTTGTTCAACATTTTGTTTGTGAAATTCGTCCATGTTTTATCTAGCAGTGGTTTGTTCTTTTTATTCCTATGTAGTATATGAATGTCTCAAAATGTATTTTATCCATTCTATCTTTGATGGACATTTGGGTTGTTTCTAGTTTTTAGTTATCATGAATAAACTTGCTGTGAGTATTGTTGTGTATGTTTTGGCATACTTATATACTTTTTCTTTTGTATATATATAGGTAGGAGTAGAATTACTGGGCCATATTTTAGGTTTATGTTTAGCTTCAGTAACTTATGCCAGAATATACAAGCAGTTTTCTAAGTGGCCGTACCAATTTTCTTTCCTACCAGTAATGTGTGAGAGTTCCAGGTGTTTCACATTCTCACCAGTACTTGGAATTGTCAGTCTTTAAGTTTAGCTATTCTGATGGATATGCACTGATATCTCAGTATGGTTTTTATTTGTTCCTTGATTACTAATGAAGTTGACCAACTTTTCATATACTTATTGGCCATTTAAAGTATATGTGGCATAACTATATTTGTTCCTTGATTACTAATGAAGTTGACCAACTTTTCATATACTTATTGGCCATTTAAATATCCTGTTTTGTGGCATAACTATTCAAGTCTATTGACTATTATTTTTATTAAGATATTTGTTTTTTTTTCTTACTCATATATAGGAGTTTTTAATATTCATTCTGGATATGAGCCCTTGCTAATTGTATGTGTTATATGTATATGTGTTGGTACATGTGTAGAAATATCTTCTCCCTGTCTGTGGTTCGGCTTTTCACTCCTAATGGGCCTTTTGATGAATAGAATTGTTAATTTTAATAAACTCCAACTTACTGTCTTTTTAAATGATCAGTGCCTTTTATTTCCTATTTAAGAAATCTTTGCCTGTTCTAGGAATTGTTTTTTAAAAACAAAATATTTGCTAGAATTGTTTCCCCTTGTTCACATTATGTTTGGAACAGTGCTGGAATAAGATGGTAGTTTAGAAACCTTGCCCTATGCATTGCTTTCCCAAAAGTAATAATTAACAGCAGTGGTTTTGCATATGAATTTCTGGTGTAGTTTACACTACGGGGTTCCTGTGTGTTCTGTTAGTGGTCCAGATAATGTTAACTGCAATAATAGTAATAACTAATGTTAACTGCAATAATAGTGATAACTAATGTAATAATATTGAGGGGTATTTGAGAGTGAAGGCTGTAAGGCCAGACTGGATGAATTTGGACTCTATCCACTTGTGTGTCCCTGGGCAAGTGTGACACTGTTCAAACCTCAGTTTGCTCATTTGGAATGAAGACAATAAAGTTCTTACCTCCGAGGGATGTCATAGGAATTAAATGAGACAGTCCATGTACAGCCCTTACTACAGGGTCTGGCATAGAGGTGAACACTTAGCAAGGGATAGCTGTTATTATTTTTGTGTATTGCTGTTTAGAAAGCAATTTTACTGCATTTCAGGATGTGTGAATTTCAGAAAAACAGTATTGTATTCATATAGTTTAACTTTTGTTTCTTAGTATGGCATAAGAGGCCCTAACCTCACCCTCCTTTTTTTTCTTTTCTAA